GCAGCGCACGTAGAGCGGTATGTTCCATACAGGGTGTAAACAGTGAGTTGTTGTTAGGATCTGACAACTTGGCAGCGCTTCATGTGGCCTAGGAAAATTGAAAAGAGGCTTGGGATGTTTTTGGAGCACTACCTTATTTACGGGCCATTTCCCGTATAGACTTCCTTTAAGGGCTCCTAGACAAGGTGAATGTTTGGACCATGTGTAGACTAATGTAGACTGCAGGACGTAAGAAAGCTGCAGTGGGAATGGCCAACAACATGAAACAAAATCAAGAATTACACAAAACAACAAAACATCCCACAAACACATTTGATGCCATCTCTCCGGGATTTTCGAGCTAGAGTTTTTCGTTTTAGTTTTTTTGGTGAAGGGTTGGTCGTTCGCTAGCCACTTGAATGTAGGAGATAGATGACAGCCGCCACGTACCTTGACAAACATAAGATGAAAAAAGGACAACATGTATACCTGAGGACGCTGGGGTCGATGTATGCCATTGAACGTGTGTGATCTATGTACAGTGACACTGTATACACATGAACGGAAATTGTGCTGTCGTCTGTTCCCTGGCATGTTCCAGGCGCTGGAGAAGCTGCCCTGGACACGGGGTCGGACTTTTAGCTTCATCGTGTCCAGCATCATTTTCCTGAACACAGTCCCTGGGCATGAAGACCTCTTTGAGAGCACTATTGGGTAATATTATTGTTATTGCTACATTTGTCATACTATTGCTATTAGTAAGAATGGCGGCAAATTTGCAAAGCAAGCTGAGCCTGATGCCTCCAGATTGGGCTCCGAGGTCTGGCTGGGCCTTGAAACGGAGACTTGATGAACTTGATGACCAGTCTGGATGTGAGGACTCGACTCTGATCTGAAACCGTTGCTGCTGAAGTTGTGACTTCTGTGCCAAGGATTATTACAACGAAAAGAGCTATGAAAATCAAGTTGACCCATGGCGGATAGCAGCTGCCTGAGCTCTTGCGAATTTACCGCACCATTGCTTGATTCAACCACAAGCGCGCCGCCTCGGCACTGGCCCCCGCAGGGGTGAGCTGAGACTTGGGGATGGGTGGGGACCGAAAACATTGCGGGGAGGTAATGTCTCAGCAGGCTTCCTCGCTCACCTGCTCAAGTTGACAATGACCAAGGTGAACTACACCTTTGTGGGCTTCTTTGTTATTGAACTAGTAATCCGAATCTATTCTCGGTCATGGTGGCCGTTCATTGCGGACAATTGGAACAAGTTTGATCCCCGGCAACAATTTCCAGGCCTTGCGCTTTGGGATGTCGTATTGACAGCAGTGCATGCAAGCTCGGCTGATAGTAAAAGCGCTTCGCCTCGTATGCTTGGGCTTAGCATGCCAACGGAGATTGACGTCAATTTAGCTTTGCATGGATGCGCTTCATGTTAAACTGGCTGTCCTTCATGCTTTATCACGAAAGCTAGCGGAGCTGGGCTTGAGTTTAGCTTCGAGTGGGGGAGGGGAGGGGTTGGGGGAGAGGGGGGGCGGAGTCGACTGTGATTCTTTCACAGCGGGGGGAGGGGGGGGGTCCAGAGGCTTCGCAGGAATAACGTCATGTTCAGTGGGTAATTGTACTACAACATCATGTTATTAGCATTATTATTTGACGTTGATATTTGTCCATTGCTGTCTGGATTATCCATTTTGACTCTTTGACTTACTGATACATCCGAATGCCTAATGTCTACATATCCTAATAGATTGGCCTGTCCGTCTGTTACTTTAATCTTTGGTGTTGATGATTGTAATCCCATAGTTACCGCATCGCTGCTTCTAACAAATAACTTATACTGTGTGTCCAGCACTTCTGTGAAATCACTGCTGTTCCGAAACATCAAGCGTCCCAGCTAACTAGTGGCATCCGCCTTTCCACCAATATTACCAATACTACTAACTAAGTGTGTGACTATTTATAACTGCTCTATTCATTGTAATTCTGAGAGTGTCGCTTAGTTGTAATGCCATTTTTCCTGTTGTGAGGTCGGGTGTTCTATCCGGCTGTACATTTCCTCTGTTGGCATTGCATGTTAACTGCGTTCGTGTTTTATGGTTGTTCTCTCACTAATGTTAGGTTCTAGTTATATCATGTTATATCACACGTTACGTAGTTTTCCAGACCGTGAAGGCTACCACTGCTAAAGCAAGAGTAAACTCAAGCCTAGCTCGCTTGATTTGTGCTGCTAAGGTTGCTGTTGCAGGGTCTGCTTCCTGATTAGATTGAAGATGGAAATTGATTCCATGAGAAGTAATGATGTTTAATGATTTGCCAGCGTATGCCCTCTGATATATTATATCCGCATCTGAATAATGTGCTCCTGTCGGCGTCCAAAAACAAATTCCTGGCTTAAATATAGGTGCTTGCGTTGTCCCACCAAATACTGTTCAGAAATATGACATATTGGGGTCTGCTCCAGTTCCTACCTTCCACTCCTGTCCTTTGTACCTTTACTTCACCAGTTCATGCGTCTGGTATTCTCAGAGATGCTGCTGGGATCTTTGCGCCCGTGCATTGCCTTGTACTTGGAATGACCCTACTAATCAGGGATGTAGAGTCCCTAGAAGACCAACAGTGTAGTGGTAGATCCTATGATCGCTAAACCTTCAACCCTTCCAACACTTCCCAGGTCAGCTGGGCTCTAAGACTCCAGGGTTGGGGACTTGTGGACCAAAAGGCTGACTTACTTGATGTTTCAGATGGTTAGCGTCTGGGGTTTCGGGTTCAAGGTTTAGAGAAAGTAAACCGCAAGTCTCAGACAGCTGCCAGTGCGTAGACGGGTTCCTATTGTATGGTCCTGTTTGAATTTACCTCTAAATGCTCTAGGCCACAGGGTTTTGAATAGGAACCTTCTCACGGTTCGGCTTCCTACGGTTCGGGGCGGTTCGGTTCTTTAACGGTTCGGTTCCTAAACGATTCGGCTCCTACGGTTCGGTTCGCCGGTTCGCGGTTCGGTTTGGGGGTTACCCTGTGCTTTGGCCACTGTGGAGTGTCTGAGGATTTTGTGCTGGTGCTGCTGTCGCTGGCGGACACATTCCTTCTGGAACAAATTTCTGACAGTGCAGGTCTGCCAGCAACATGACCGGTGTGTTGGTAGCGCACTCTGCAGATCAAGTGCTGTTTTGCAACCGAGGGCTTCTGAGAGTTCAATGTCTAGCGCATCTATACCTAGTCAGGAGCAAAGAAGCAGTAGATTTCATGACATTAGGATTTCATGACATGAGGTTCTTTGAGCTCGCTGCGGGTTCTCCGAGTGCTGCGCGTGGCGCGTGTTCTGAGACTTCTGCGCTTCTTTAAACCTCTCTGGCTGCTGGTGATAGGCGGGAGGTTGAGGGATGTGGCAAGCTTGGCATGGAGACCCCGAAGTACTCTTGCACCCTCTTTCCCATCGGCCCCGCTCCCTTCAACACCCTGAAAGGGGTTTTGTTCTGGGTAGTATGATCCCAGAGCCCCTCAACCATGCCGGACTTCGGAGCGGGGACATCTCATTGAGGATAGCCCTGCAATGCTGCGGCACACGAAAATCCTACGGTAGAGTCGGTAGAGAGTTTTTAACGGAAAGCAGTGTGAAATTATGTTGTTCTATGTAGGCGGGGATAAGGCATGCCAGGGCAGGATCGTCACAATTGAAAAGCCTGCAGCTGGATCTCGCGTCCTCAAGGTGCCGTTGATGCTATGCGAGCTTTGTTGTGGGCGTGGGTCACTTCGGCTGCAAAAGGGTATCGGAATTGGATGAGCTCTATAGTGACAAGCATATGCATCCTTTGCGGAAAGTCCCTGGCCCTGGTCACTGATTTGGTGTTGGAGCGCAAACGCCGAGGTCTTGATCTCCATCCTCATCTACATCTTTGCCATCCTGCTTACACGAATCGTAGGTTTTGCGCACCAGGGCGCGACAAACGACGTTGACACATACTTTGGAAACCTGCTTTACAGCCACTTGGCAGCAGACCTTGAAGTGAGCAGCTCACACGGGTCACAGGTGCACGCCAACATCGCTATATGACTTTGTACAACAGCCGAACGGGCGAGAGTCACACTGGCGCACGTCGTGAACAGATGTGTAGTGTAGTTACACATCGATCCACTGCAGACATCAGGTTGATGCTGCAGCAAAACGTGCATGTAATTGGCTGCCATGCTCAGGCTGTTTCACGCTCTTCCAGGCAGCTTCTTCGAACAAGACATAATGGTCTCCAGAATAAACGAATGATTCTTTGGGAAGTCGAAGTCAAATATAGCACAAGTAAGAGTACAAGTAAGTAAGAGTGCCGAGATCGTATTTTATTGTCTGAGATCCTTAGTTGCCCCATCTGAAACCATTTCCCTTCACATTACAGTGCTTTTGCAGCGCACGAAACCTGGGAGCAGTACCGGTCGATCCAGAGTTCTTCCATGGTTTACTCATCAAAAGCTTCGAGAGTCACCTCCAAGAGTTACGCAAGCTTCAGAGGCGGGTGGTTTCTGATGAAAGGCTTTGGATTTTTTAAGGTAAAGCATACTTCCAAGGCGTCACAAATATCTAGTCTTGTTTTGATGGAAGGCAAGCTGAGCTGCAGTTTATGGCTGATGCGATGTGTTTCATGCAGATGACGACGAAAACCAAGTGGGTCCAAGTGGTTCTGTGCTACAAAAGATGGTCTGCTGCAGTGCTGCCTCCTGGCGCAGGTTATGACCCTGGAGGGCTGGCCGGATGTTGCCCGTGCAGCTACGGACGTAGAGCCCTGGGTTTGGCCACGTCGTCGCAAGTTTAAAGAAGTCCAAAGCATTTCGCACATGCCTCCGCCACCCGCCTTCCAGCCTTCCAGACGCCAGGATTGTCTTCGTGGTTTTCTTGCTTATCACCACGTTCTCCATCATGAATATGATCGTATCTGTGCGATACTTAGATTAGACCGCAAGGGCTTGCCGTGGAACACCGCCTTGATGTTGTGTCCTGATGCACATGATGAGATATGATGAGGTGATAGTGGAAAGCACCCTTGAAGCTGCCTTGGACCAGAAGCTGCAAGCCATGCGCGACCAGGTGCTAGTGACTGCTAGTGCTCCATTCTGCTGCATGCGCAGCGGATTTGCTTGCATTAGTCTGTACAGGAGTACCAGACGACGATGGCTGCTGTGAAAGTGGACGAGGCTGGCGCAAACTTCAAATAAAACGAGAAGGAATAGGTCCTGTCCTACTTTCAGGTTTTCCGCCGTGCTGACGGAAATGGTGACGGTCACATCACAAAGGACTGACAACTCTGGTTTTGCGGGCCGAAATCCTGTACAGTATGTACTTTGCCAATCCGAGCCACACCTTGAAGGACGAGCTTATGCAAGCGTTGCTTAAGCCAGACGTGCGATTGTATCTGCGGGAAGTTGGAATCGACATAACGAATGCGGAGTTCATCTTTGACGTGGCTCAAGAAAACATCAGCTGTTTGAGATGGGTGATGATGGGTGCTGGACTTGAAAGTCACGTCTTCGGTTCGCGTGTCTTGCATGTAGCTCTTGACCTCAATGTGACAGGGATGTTTTTGGGTCTCTTCACTGAAGGCTTAAAGGAGGCAGACAACTCCGAGTGCATTCCGCTTGCATGACATGACGCCAGATCGTGCACGCTGGGCCTTCCGCGGCCCGGCACTCCTTAACGCTAAGCTTAAACAACTGCTCCAGGGCGAGGGAGAGTGGAGCGGTGTGCTTTGCAACACTAGATGAGGAGAAAACTGAAGGATGTTGGCTGGAGCAACAAGACTTCCTATGAAATGGAACCCTCCCCAAGCACCTGATGATTGTCACATTTAATCGATGTCAAGTAGCATGCGGCTAACAACCTTTGTTGGCTGGGTAAGGGGTCAGAAGAAGCAAAGGAATCTTAGTGCCAAGGCTCGTGCAGGCGACCCTGCCTCACATGCCTGTGCAGTGCGCGTGATTTAGTGTGAGGCTGTTTGCGTGCTGCTCCGCCATGATGTTGCATGCTATGTGCAACACGTGGTAATTACGTCGGAAGAGGGCGGCAGTTGCAAGCCGGAGAGCTGAGGTTATTGACTACGACGGCTCTGGGGAGCTGGAGTACAAGGACTGGGAAGTGGGAAGGTGAAGCCCTCTGCGAGCTTTTTCGCAGCCAACTGAGATGCTGATTCTGCGAAGTCCGTTCATGTCCGAGTCATTTCCTCACTTCGTAAGCGCATGGTTTGAGAATTTGCTCTGTAGGAGTTTGCCTTGGGCCTGGTCAAGGCTCGCGGCGAGGCGAAAGCACAGGAGAGGGAGCGGAAGAATACAATTTAGAGCGTGCACCATGGGCTTTGCTGGGGTTGGCATCGAGTTGACCCAAGGCGGTTTTGAGGCTACAAGTGTTACAAGTAGCCCAGCAGGCCCAGAATGGCAGGAATCAGTGCGCTAACGTGAGGCAGTATGAAGTGGGTGATTTTGGAAGCGTGTTGCGTATTTGCATGTGTTTGTTCCAGATTTTGAGTGCCAGGCTGCGTGGTATTGGGCACACATTTTCTCCAAGACACTGAGACACAATCTAGCTTGACTGCGACGTTGCGACATGTTTGACTTGTGAAAACTTCGATCATTGCCCAATCTGGGGCAGGGAAGAAGTGCGGTTTTCGGTCTAGACCCTTTCCAGAAGGGGTTTTGGAGTCCGAGAACGGTTTTCGCAGCCTTTGTAAAGCTGGATGCCCACGGAGGCCCCGTGTTAATGCTGGTGCTGACCTGGGGTGTGCTGCATGCCTTGTTCGGTTAGTGAGGGCAAGTCGCGGCAACTCGATGAGTTTCTTCTACAATACGTAGATAGCCATGTGGGCAGGACTGTTGGTGCTGTTATGTGCTGTTGCACAAAGATGCTCACAAAGCTACTGCTGCTGCTGCTGCTGCTGCTGCTGCTGCTAATGCTGCTGCTAATGCTGCTGCTGCTGCTGCTGCTGCTGCTGCTGCTGCTGCGGCGGGGG